GATGATGGATGGATGTACGGATGATGGATGGATGGAGGGATGGATGGATGGATGATGGATGGACGGATGGATGGATGATGGATGGATGGATGGATGGTTGATGATGGATGGATGGATGGTTGATGGATGGATATGGATGGATGGACGGATGGATGGATGGATGGATGGATGGATGGATGGATGGATGGATGATGGATGGACGGATGGATGGTTGATGGACGGATGGATGGTTGATGGATGGATGGATGGTTGATTGATGGATGGACGGATGGATGGATGGATGATGGATGGATGGATGGATGATGGATGGACGGATGGATGGTTGATTGACGGATGGATGGTTGATGGATGGATGGATGGATGGATGATGGATTACGGACGGACAGAGATAAACTGTTTTCCTATATCAGGTTCTGTTCTTCAACATCTAACCTCAATCAACGAGGCTCAACTAATCATGTTCAACCAATCAGGATCAATGTTACTGGTTGATGAGAGGCAGGGTGTGTTACCATGACACTTGTTGGTTGTGTCAGTCTACAGATGATGTCAGAGTTCTGGTTACCTCATTTGAGGATGATGTCATCGACGGACCGGACCAGGTGGACGGCTCCGATGGCCGACGCTTCGCCTCTGGAGTTGGAGGCGTGACACTCGTAGGATCCTTCTTCTTCTTCAGTCAGCGGGGAGATCTGAGGGACCAGGTCAGGACCAACAGGGACCGGGTCAGGACCAACAGGGACCGGGTCACGACCAACAGGAACTGGGTCAGAACCAACAGAGACCAGGTCAGGACCAACAGAGATCGGGTCAGAACCAACAGAGACTGGGTCAGGACCAACAGGGATAGGGTCAGAACCAACAGCGACCGGGTCAGGACCAACAGGGACCGGGTCAGGACCAACAGGGATAGGGTCAGAACCAACAGCGACCGGGTCAGAACCAACAGGGACCGGGTCACGACCAACAGGAACTGGGTCAGAACCAACAGAGACCAGGTCAGGACCAACAGAGATCGGGTCAGAACCAACAGAGACCGGGTCAGGACAAACAGGGATAGGGTCAGAACCAACAGCGACCGGGTCAGGACCCACAGGTACCGGGTCACGACCAACAGGAACTGGGTCAGAACCAACAGAGACCAGGTCAGGACCAACAGAGATCGGGTCAGAACCAACAGAGACCAGGTCAGGACCAACAGGGACCGGGTCAGAACCAACAGAGACCGGGTCAGGACCCACAGGTACCGGGTCAGAACCAACAGAGACCGGGTCAGGACCAACAGGGATCTCAGAAAAAAATACAAATTAATTTTTAGGTCCCCCCATTGTTAGAACAATGGTTCAGTCCAAAAGGCAGGCGGAGCAACAGCAGCTGAACGGAACCGGCTCCGTTAGCGTGAGACGCTAGCTGTTAGCCGCAAGCTGTTAGCCGCTAGCTGTTAGCCGCTAGCTGTTCGCTGCCACTCTGCAGCACAAACATAAAACCCTCCAGTAAGTAAATACTTTAAGCAAAAGACAAGTAAACATTTTATTTCCTTTCACTGCTCAAATAGAAGAAACTCGTTTACAATAAAGATCAGACTGCTGGTCATTTTATTACTTTGACTGAACCATCCTGAGCTGCCTCATTAGCAACACTGATTCATAGACTTGAGCTTTTTTATGGAAGGCAGCAAACGTATCATTAATAAGTTTTAGAGAATTATAAGACAGTGGATGGAGGATCAAATGGAGCCCAGAACAGATAGAAGAATCTGAAGTTATGTCTTTATTTCTCACTGTTTTCAACATAGAGCCTTTAAAAGCACTAAATAATCGGAACATTTTCTGTTTGAACCCTGGTGCTTTAAGTTTCTATGTTTAAGTTATAAAACGCCCAGATATTCATTTCCATCTGTTGTTTCTCCATCACTCAGGACATGACAAACTAAAAAAAGGCTTAAAAATAAAGCAACTTAAGTTATCATTTAAATATAAATTATTGGAGCCATTTCAATAAATCAATGTTTATGAGGAATTTTATGACCAGCAGAGATTATATCACTGAACAAAACTTTCAGTTTGATTTCTCAATCATTTCTTCTTGACAATAAAACATGTTTGATCTGCAGAACTGGTCATTTATTAAAACACATTTTTGGTGTTTGCCAAAACTCAAAACTGCTCTTAACACATATTTCTGTTTAAGGTCCAGAACCGAACCCCAACAGAACCCGAACAGAACCGGACCGGAGCTGGAACGGACAGGTGAGAAAACCTGCAGAAACATCTGGATGAACAACTTGAGCTGTTCAATAATAAAACAGTTCAATAATAATCATAACAGGTGCCTGAAGGTTTCATTGATATTCTGATAATTGAACAATTTCTTGACTTAATAAGTTTCTTATAGAAAAACGTTTCATTCAAATGTTTTTTGCTGCTGAAAAATTTTTCTGTATCTTCTGTTATGTTTTCATTTTAATCTTTGAGGTACCAGAACACGGATGTGACACCTGAGGTTCGTCTCACCTGCGGCGCAGCGGCCTTTGTTCTGGACGCTGATTGGCTCCCTGCCGCCCCGCGCCGCCGCCATGCTGGCGCTCCTCAGGGCGCAGCCGCTCCTGTACGTGGTTCCGTCGGATCCGCACACCTGGTAGTTTGGTCTTGCACGCGCACACGCCGGTTTTGCTCCGCTTGTCGTCGCCGCTCCTGACGCACTCCAACCCGAAGCCGCAGCGGCGCGCTGCCGCCGCACGCCTCGCCCTCCGACGCGGCGCACACCGCGCAGCAACCGCAGGAGTCCCGCAGCGAGCCGGCGGGGCATCCCGCAGCCGGGAGAGGAGCGCATCCCGCAGGGTCACACGGAGCGCAGCCCGGCCCGGCCCGCAGAACCGGAACCAGCAGCGGCAGCAGAAGCAGGGAGAGGCGGCGGGACGTCATGGCACTCCGAGATCTGATCTGGACTGAGAGCTGAGGGGGCTGCTGGCCCCGCCCACAGCCCGAACCGAACCCAGACCGGTTGAACCGAACACAGACCGGCTAGAACTTTCTGATCCAAATGAGCTGAAAGGTATCTGATTATTGATTGGATCGGTACCGGCCGGTCCTTACCGGAACTTCTGCCTCCACATTCCTCACATTCAGATCCCAGTTTGACCCAGACTCCCAGTCTGGGAACCAGGAAGCCTCCCAGTCCAAGCTGGGAGTTTTTCCTTCCTGTTATTATTTCATCAAGATTCCCAGAACATTTTCACCTCCAGAACCCAAAACAAACCCGGTTCTGGTCAGCACCAGCCAGAACCCAAACCCATCCAGACGACTAACCAGAACCTGACGTTCACCAGATGAACACGATCAGAACCACAGAACTTTATTATCACCACTACATTCAAAGAGTCCCACATGAAGCCCGGTTCTACCAGAACCAAGACGGATGAGGAAGCTGCAGCCCATGTTCTCTGGACCGGTTTCACTGTAGAACCAAGCAGAACCACCGATAGAGCCAGGGTGGTACCAGTAGAACCCGGCCAGGTGGCTCTACCTCCAGTACTTGCTGATGAAGGCTGACAGGAGGTCCTGGTACGGCGTTTCGGACCGCGGCGCCGGCAGCCCAACGGTTCTGCGGACGGCTGGTGAGCGCAGTAGGAGGTTGTGACTGAACCCGACCAGACTGGAGCAGAACCAGTACAGAGCCATGGACTGTGAGGAGGAAACAGGACATTAGTCTCTTCAAAATAAAACACCTGGGACCCGGTTCTGATCCAGATCTAATTCTGACTCGTTTAGCTCACCGACGGGACAGAGGCAGCGATGGGGATCATCAGAACCGAGAACCCTCTGAACCCGTTCAGAACCAGCCGCTGGAAACGCGACGCTCCGACTCTCTGCAGAGAAAACACCTGAAGAAGAAGAGAGAGATGACATCAGCGCGATGACATCACTGTCCAGCTGGCGTGGCTCCGCCCCCAGACCGACCTCCAGGATGAGCAGGTTGGTGAGGCCCAGGCAGACCGGCAGGACCCAGGTGGAGTCCGGTACCGTGAGGTCCGGGAACCACAGAGCGCCTCCTGCTGCCAGCTCGTCATGCAGCGCTGCACAGGAACACACGAGATCAGACCAGAACCAGAACCAGGACCCAACCAGAACCAGACCAGCACCTACCTGGCCGGTCCAGGCTGAGGTTCCGCAGCGCCAGAGACAGGCCGACCCAGAGCGGCAGCTGGACCCAGACCAGCAGGCTGGCTTTGAACGGGTGGCAGTTGTCCCGGACGTAGAGCTGCGAAACCAGACGCCGCAGGTTCTTCTGAAACTGGACCCTGTGAACAGAATCAGAACCTTTTCAGAGCCCAGAAACAGAACTCCGGTTCCTTTCGGGACTCGGTCCAACCCCGATTCTTTCATGTTTGAGAAGTCCTTTAATATCCATGGCAACCATTCAGCTGCTAACTGCCCGGGTGGACGTAGCCCCGCCTTCAAGGGACAGCTCCTCCCCCAATCAGCTCCTTCAGACTAGCCACCAGCAATTAGCAATCAGCTGCTGAGCTCATTATAGGAGCTGTAGCTCTGAGTAAAAACATTAAAGGGTTAAAGAGGAGCCATGTTGGGATGACTTCCTGAAGGCGGAGCTTCAGAGCAGGAGTTCTTAAAGACACAGAGACCCAATTTTAAGAAGTTAAATCAGAAGGGCACATTTCTATTAATATTGAGCCATAATTGATGTATATAACATGTTATAACAACTGAAGGAAACATAGTGGGCTATAAAAAGGAAAACAAACTGGTCCTTTAAACTTCTTCATTTAGGTTCCATTCTTCCAGAAATAACTTTTACAATCTGAAACGTGAGAAGAAAGAGTGTGTGAGAACTCCATGTTTCTATCCAACCTTCATTCCAATTTTGAGGAAATTTTTAAAAAGTTGCAACAAAAAAACAAAAGGAAGTGATTCTGTCTAAATCAAGGGTGCTCAATACGTCGATCGCGATCTACCGGTCGATCTGCATCAGGTTTTGAGTGGATCTCTGCAGGACGCTGAGAGCAGCACTTCCTCTTCTGACAGACTTTTCAAAATATTCACTAAGATCCAAAACGTTTGTAGCTTCATTAAATAATAATAAAGCCTGAGACCTGATATCGTAACGGACTGAACATTTTTAACGTAATCTTTGCTCGGCTTGCGGGGCGCAGGCGGTTGCCACGGCAACGGGTGTGCTTAACAATAAAGAGAGAAAAAGAGTAAAAAGGTGCGAGTGGTTCTGAGTTGATCACCTGTTCAGGTTATTCTACTTTGTTTTCCTTCGCTGTGGTTCATCACAGCCGCTGGAGTTTCTGAACATTCAATAAACGACAGACTTGGACTGATGACCTCGTTCGTTTGCAGTAAACGTCACAACCAACATCAAATAGGACAAATATATTTGATTAAGTTTTAACAAACAAATGGCTTCTACCACAATAATTGTGTCAAATTACATTAATTATATCCCAAATTCAGCAGATTTGCCTTTCCCTCTGCAGAGCTCTTTGCTTCCTCCCATCAGTCTGCAGTTTCTCATATTGACGTCATCAAACCAAATTTCAGATCCACCAGAACTGACTGACAGCTGCTGGCCTCAGGTTTACAACCAGCTTCTGACTGAGAAACCAGTAACCTACTGAAACCAGTAACCTACTGAAACCAGTAACCTGCTGAAACCAGTAACCTACTGAAACCAGTAACCTACTGAAACCAGTAACCTACTGAAACCAGTAACCTACTGAAACCAGTAACCTACTGAAACCAGTAACCTGTTGAAACCAGTAACCTACTGAAACCAGTAACCTGCTTCCAGAGTCAGAATCTCACTGAGGAAGAAACTGCATTATCATTTCTATCACTTTATCATTTCTGATAAAACTGATGGATATTTGCATAGAAAATGAGTCAATAGGGTTTCATTTATAATTTCTATGTCTTCATGTCATGAGGTAGATCTCAGCCGGCTGGTGAGAGAAAAAGTAGATCTTGGTCTCAAAAAGTTTGAGCTCCCCTGATCCAGATGGTTTGGAATCAACTAGGCTATGCAAAGTCATCAGATGCTGCTGACGCTACGCTTGGCTGCAGGAAGCAGGACGGGCGACGGACCGCTGTCAGTCTCATGCCTGATATGGAAATGGGACCATTGCACTCTGAAAGTGAAGGGGGCGCTATTTTCTTTATTATCCGCGGTCTATTGTTTTTATTTTCCTTTGAAATCTGTGATATATTTCCACCTTTGGGGCCTGATACTGCCTCCAGTGGCGTGGGGTAGCAACACAACTAATATAATTACATTTCTAAATCATATAAGGCATGAGACTGACCGGTCCGTCCCGCCCCTTCCTGTGTGCTGCAGGGAGATTCTTCTCGAGTTTGGTGCCTCTGGTACGGCTCACACCCACCAGTAGACGGCAGCGTTTGCTACGTTAGAACTTGTTCAGCAAACCTGTTTCCATCTCGGCTTTAACGTGTTAACTCTTATGCCTCAAGCGAGCACAGAAACACTTTTGCAAACTGATCAGGTAATTTCAGGTTGTCATTTCCATCAACCATTTTTAATGCAATACATTGAGATGGGGAGAAAGAAAAGCGTTGATGGATGAGCAGGAAGACACCTGGAACTGAGGAGGAACCAGAACCACCTGATTCGACCCGGTTGCAGACTGTGCCAGAAGAACCCGATCAGAACCAGAACCCAGACCTGGTACCAGGTGGTTGGTTCTGTCGATCCTCACCTGCTCTGCTTGTCCGTCCACCCTCGTTCTCTCCCTCGGACTGAAACCTCGTATCGAAGTCTCTTCGCCAGCTCAGAGATCTCCACCTGCAGCGCCTCCACCTGCAGCACATGCAGGTTGCCATGGTTACCAGGAAGCATGTGACCTGAGGTCAACATCAGTCCACAGCTGGTCCCTGTCTCGCTCATGAAGCTGAACTCCACCTACCTTGGCAATGATGATCAGCTGGTAGGCGGCCAGCGGCAGGGTGACGCAGGTCCTGATGGACGCTGTTGCCATAGCGATGCTCAGCCACCATGGCAACCCGCTCACTTGGTGCGCGCTGACCAGGAAGTTCTCACAGGTGAACTGGAGCGGATTCTGACAGGCTGCCGTACCATCCACCTGCGCCGCTGGCTCCTCCCAGCCCAGACGCCGGCCTCACGCGAGACTCTGCTGGACAGGTGAAGGGAAGGACAGGAGAAGCCCACCTGCTCAGAAAGTCACGTGCTCGTGGCTGCAGGACTCTGCACCTCACCAGCACCCCCACGGTGAGCATGGTGACCACGTGACTTTAAAGCTAAGAAAACTCCTCTTCCTCACCTTCATCAGCAGTCTGTCTCACAGCAGCCCATAACTGACCGAGCGTCACTCAAACATGACGTCACTGACCAATGCGGCGCGGAGGTATGACGTAGACCATGCTGGAAAAACAAAAACAACAAGAATAAAATAAAATCGAGATAAAAAAAAAACAAAAAAACTACAAAAATAACTTAAACAAAAAATACAGTTAAAATACTAGTTAGCTGTTTTGACGGCAGTTCACCGGAAACAACCTTTTCTATTCACAATAAAAGCATGCAGTGGCTAAGATGAGACAGCACGTGAAGGCATTAGAAGGAATTAAACCTCATGAATGGATGTAAGTGGAAAATGCTGGGAACAGAAACTGAATGGCTTATTTACTCAGAATTAATATTTCATCTCTGGATAAAGCCAATTGCCTTCACCTCTTATTGTGAAAGTCTGCGGCGGAAGTGCCCCTGAGGAGGACGGCAGTCATGGCGGAGTTCGGTTCGGGCGGTCTGCTCGCGGCTCTGCTGCTCTTCACAGCCCTCACCTTACGGGATGTTTATGTGGGCCGGTCGGACCACAGAACCGGCGCCTTTCTAGAAACCGAACCGGAGAGCGGGAAACCCCCAAAAGCGGCGCTGTACTCCGGCCCAGTGCTCCAGTTCCGCTACTGGTCAGTTAGCATGCAGGCTAGCAACTAGCGCGATGACGTCACGCTAAAGGAATCTTTTTTTTTTATTAATTACTTAACAATTATACAAATTCACGTGGCATATACATACATGGAAAAGTAAAGTTTTACAGGCTTAAGCCACACATATAACTAAAGGAATCTTAAGATTTCCTTGGAGATGATCAAGGCTGTCATGTGAAACTAGAAGTTTAGACTCTTCGAAGGATTTATATTCTGTTTCATGTTTCTATTTGTGATTTTTTTTAAGTTCTAAAATTCCTTGCTTAAAATTACATTTGAATAATCTTTAGTCTTTATTAAGGACAGTGCACATTAATGAACAATCAACACTACTGTATAGACTGTAAATGAGCCAGATTATAGCATAATTGCTCATTTCCATCTGTAGTCCTAGACAAAGAGACCCAAACAACAAAAAGACATTATAAACATACAGTCAAGAATTAACAAACATTTAACAAACATTCACAAAAGATGCATTAAAAAGTTAGTTAAAATGATGACCTGTCTGGGAAGTTTTAATAAACAGTTTCAGGTGTTTTTTAAAAGCGCTATAGGTGGAAGACTCTCTGTTCCAGAAGTGACTCCCTCTGACTGACAGAACCGTTTGGCCAAATGTTGTTTTCCTGTCAGGGATCTCCAGGTCTCCTCTGGAAGACGCCCTGGTGCCCAGACCTCGCTCGGCTCTTTGTGTAGAGTAGATAGCAAGCGGAGGTGGAGCGAGTCCATGAAGGACTTTGTAGATAAGGCAACTGTTTTTAAAATTAATAAAGTTTTCAAAGTTAAACATGTTATATTTTTCCAAAATATGACACTGATGATAAGACAGAGGCTTTTGATCAAGAATTTTTATCGATTTTTTGAATAACATTTCTATAGGTTTTAATCATGTATCTCCAGTGAGTGATGCAGTAATCTATGTGTGAAAATACCATTGAGTGCAGGAACATTTTAGCTGAGTTAATTGTCATTGATGGTCTGATTTGTTTGAAGTTATTCAGATGAAATTAGATTTTATTTGCTGTGAGTTTAATGTGTTTTTTAAAGGTGTGTTGGATCCAGTGTGACTCTGAGGTACTTGAACTCCTGCACAAGGTCAAGCTCTGTTCCCCCCAGGAACACACTGGACCGCTGCAGTTCTATGGGGTTTTTTGTGAACATCATTGAAATAAGAACTTTATGAATATGAATGGGTTTTTGATCTGAACTCAAAACAAGTATTTAGTCTCCAGGAAAGAGCAAATGTGTCCAACACATAAATTCATGAATTAATCTATGAAGAAAACAGAATCAGTTTCACATATTCTCTGTATGTTCCAGCACCTTCCTGTTCAGACCTGAAGCAGATTATAATCTGTGTGTCACCTGTGTGTGTGTGTGTGTGTGTGTGCGTGTGTGTGTCACCTGTGTGTGTGTGTGTGTGCGTGTGTGTGTCACCTGTGTGTGTGTGTGTGTGTGTGTGCGTGTGTGTGTGTGTCACCTGTGTGTGTGTGTGTCACCTGTGTGTGTGTGTGTCACCTGTGTGTGTGTGTGTCACCTGTGTGTGTGTGTGTCACCTGTGTGTGTGTGTGTCACCTGTGTGTGTGTGTGTCACCTGTGTGTGTGTGTGTGTGTGTCACCTGTGTGTGTGTGTCACCTGTGTGTGTGTATGTGTGCGTGTGTGTGCGTGTGTGTGTGTGTGTCACCTGTGTGTGTGTGTCACCTGTGTGTGTGTGTGTCACCTGTGTGTGTGTGTGTGTGTCACCTGTGTGTGTGTGTGTCACCTGTGTGTGTGTGTGTGTGTGTCACCTGTGTGTGTGTGTGTCACCTGTGTGTGTGTGTGTGTGTGTCACCTGTGTGTGTGTGTGTCACCTGTGTGTGTGTATGTGTGCGTGTGCGTGTGCGTGTGTGTGTGTGTGTGCGTGTGTGTGTGTGTGTCACCTGTGTGTGTGTGTGTGTGTGTGTGTGTGTGTCACCTGTGTGTGTGTGTGTGTGTGCGTGTGTGTGTGTGTGTCACCTGTGTGTGTGTGTGTGTGTGTGTGTGTCACCTGTGTGTGTGTGTGTGTGTGTGTGTGTGTCACCTGTGTGTGTGTGTGTGTGTGCGTGTGTGTGTGTGTCACCTGTGTGTGTGTGTCACCTGTGTGTGTGTGTGTGTGTGTGTGTGTGTGTCACCTGTGTGTGTGTGTGTGTGTGTCACCTGTGTGTGTGTATGTGTGCGTGTGTGTGTGTGCGTGTGTGTGTGTGTGTGTGTGCGTGTGTGTGTGTGTGTGTGTGTGTGTGTGTGTGTGCGTGTGTGTGTGTGTGTCACCTGTGTGTGTGTATGTGTGCGTGTGCGTGTGTGTGTGTGCGTGTGTGTGTGTGTGTGCGTGTGTGTGTGTGTGTGTGTGTGTGCGTGTGTGTGTGTGTGTGTGTGTGTGTGTGTGTGTGTGTGTCCAGCATCTCCTGAGGCTACAGTAAAGTCTTCCAGGAATACTCCCAGGCCATCAGCCAGGTGTATCCAGACATCCGCATCCAGGGGGAGAACTACCCTCCCACCCCGCTCAACAGGTGAGATTGAAGCTCCAGTTCTGGCTGCGGTTCTGGTTCCGGTTCTGGGACCTTCATCCTGATCTCGTCCTCTTCCTCAGGTTCATCGGTAACCTGGTCTCGTATCTGAAGCTTGTCTCCATCCTCCTCATCATCAGCGGTCAGAACCCTTTCCCGCTCCTCGGTACCGACACGCCTGCGGTTTGGACCTGGACTCAGAACAACAAACCAGACTTGCTGTGCTGTTGCCGTAGCAACAGATGCTGACGTTGGCGTTTCCTGTTTCCAGATCTTCTCGTGTCTGATGGCCTTCTTCATCAGTAACATGATGGAGACTCACTTCCTGTCTACGGGAGCCTTCGAGGTCACGCTGAACGGTGAGTCCTGATTGGTGCAGAACCATGCAGCTTCCTGGTGTAACGCTGTTTGTCTTCCCCAGACGTTCCCGTCTGGTCCAAGCTGCAGTCAGGTTACGTTCCAAACATCCAGGAAATGTTCCGGATCCTCGACACGCACCTGAAGATGAACCAGGCCGACCGCGTCGCCTTCGCCTCCGCTTAGAGCTGCACCACCTTCTCCTGAATCATCTGACCTCTGACCTGTCTCCCAGCCGTGCTGCATTCAGGCTCAGTGGGAAATTCAGCTGTTGGCGTTCATGAAGGCGCGGCCTTAAAGCGGATCTGCCGGGCTGCGCCGGATGTCTCTGCCTCCATACTGATTCCCATGATGCAGTGGGCCATCAGCTGGCGTGGACGACGGTCACATGACTCTCACTCTCTGTTGTCATTTGTTACATTCTTGGTTTATGAATCCAATTGGCCCGGTTCTGGCACCGTCGGATCAGTTTATTTTGTTTTATTTAAAGTTTGGGCTTTTATTGTGAAAACAGGAAGCTGGTCACATCAACCTTAATGTTCAGCTGATGGATTGTCTCCAGCTCAAATAAAAAGTCTTAAAGGAAAATTTCTTCTTCTGTGTTCTGCTTGGCGGATGTCAGTTTGTCACCATGACGACAGATCAATTAATCCAGACCTGTCAATGATGCGTTTGAAGACCAATGTAAAACCACGTAAAACTGAGACCAATTGGCCAAATCTTTCAGTTCAAAACCAAAAGGAAGACGATATTATGATGAGTTAAATGTGGATAATTAAAGTTTTATTTCCAAAATTGAAGATAAACATTTGAGAGTAGAAAATTTGCTTGATATAATTTGATTAATTGTTTTTCTGCCTGCATTCATTTTCTCTCCATGCAAAACTGGAAATGAAGCATCATTTATGAATTCATTTTATTTCTAATAATCACATGTTTATCACATTTTTTGCTAAATTTCCTTCTAATATGACAATTTCAGAATAAATGATTCTGGAAGGATTTGAAAAAACTTACAGTTGGGTTTTGTTGTTTGAAGATATTGGTCTTGTGTGAATCAGTTTAACGAAGTGTGTGTCATGTTCAATAGAAGTTCCTGATGAAACGGCTCGTTTTGTTTTTCTTCCTCTTCTAAAGGTCTTCCCTTCATCATCAACGTCATTTCTAGCGTTCCAGTCTGTTAGTTACAGAATCAAATCTAATGTGAAACCAGGATTGACAGGAAGCTGTGGCCTCGAGTCAAACTGTAAAAACAAGTTTTCCATCCTGCAGGGGGCGCTGTGAGGCCTCCACGACTTCCGCTGCAACAGAACAAGAGAGGAAGCTGCCGTTGGCGTCAGAATCAGCGAGTCTGAGTCCGAGTTTTTGTCTTCTCCAGGTCGGAACCAAAGTGATCCGGACTGCTGTGATCCATTCTGAGAAGGTTCTGGCTCCAGGTGTTAGTGGAACACCTGGAGGAGCTGCTGCTGGTGAGTCAGGACGGCTAACGGCTAACAGGGGTGTTGTGGCGAAAAATGCTTCTGTGGGAAACTGAAGCATTTCCCCACAGCGACAGCTGCTGCTCGGTCCCGGTTCCGGTTCTGTTCAGGTTTTAGCTGTTTGACACTCGGTGGCGGATTGTTTGGATTATTTGTGTTTTAGTGGCTGCTAAGAGTAAATGTTTCAAATTCCGTTTGGTGACAGAACCGTCTGGTTCCGTGGATATGAACCCAATAATCAGGATTTATGACGCTACAGGAAAATCTGTTAAACAACATAAAGAGCTGGAATGAAATACAAACCTGTATTTAAACTCTGTAAGAGGTTCTCGTTTGGATCTGAACCGTGATTGGTCGAGGCTTGGATGACGTAATGGACCAGGAAGTGGTCAACAATAGATGATCATTCAATCATCTATTGTTGATGATGATTGAATGATCAACAATCATTCAATCATCATGAATGAATGATTGAATGAATCATTCATTCAGGACCAATACAGTAAGAGACAATAAGATTCTAGACAACCACCATCTAAACTGTGATCTGAAGTTTTATCTACACAAACAGACTAAAGACTTAAGGATGGCATTTTTTTTAAAAGATGATGACATCAGACAGGTGCAGGATTAGCAGTGACCTGATTGGCTTCATCCTTTCCCTTCTCAAAGCCTTTGACCTGTTGGAGCATCAGTTTCTTTTCAAAGTTTTAGACGTTTAGATTTGGGCCAAACTTCTGCAGAATAACAGAAAGTTTTTACAACAGGTTGAGCTGCAGCGCCACCTGGTGCGTCTCCATGTTTTACCACCAACAGTGAACAGGTTTCTCCCTGTTCATAAAATACTCCAATAGACATAAAAGAAAAACGTTTGGTGACCAAATTATGATCAGTCAACATTCTGATGATGCCACATTTTTATTGAAGAACCTGGACCAGATGTTCTTGGCCTGGTTCTGTTGAACGCTTGGGGTTCGACGAGTCGGTCTCGGGTTCTGCGGAGGTAAAGTCCGCTGCTGACCTTAGGTCAGGTCTGGGTCAGTGCAGCGGGGAATTTCATGTCATAGTTGTACGCCATGTTTCTTTCTTAATATATTAATCCATCCTAAATGTATCGGGCAAAAAAAGAAGAGCAGGAACGGAGTGAGAGGAGCTTGTCTCCAGAAGTCACACTGATTCGCAGGAATGTCATTTATTCTGGCCCCAAAAAAGCATTTTGTGGATTCAAAATTACAAAAAGCTTATTAAATTGAAAATAAAAATAATGAAGTTATTACACTATTTTAAATTCTTCAAAAAATCCAAATTTATTTTTAATTCGTAAAATAATAAAAAATATTTTGGGGAGCTGAATTTCTTTCATTGGCTGAAATATTTTTTAGGGGCCAGAATAAAGTAATATTGTAATCTGCTGTGTTGGTTTTGTTCGCTGAGCAAGGCGATGATCATGCACAGCTCATTTTGTGCATCAGTAAAAAAGTATATACCTATGTCTTGAATTTGGAAGAAAAATCATATTTTATTTATCACCAGAGAAGTGATAAATAAAACTGGTGGGTTAAGAACCACTGATAAAGACTAAACCCCTAAAGTACTTGAGTTCATGAAAAGTTTCTCCAAAGCTTCAGGATTCAACCTGATGGTGAATCATGGCTGATCTGACAGAAATCCTCAGTTAAGATGTTAAACTCAGTGAAACTCAGGGAATAAAATGCAGTGAAATGAGATCTGACCCTGTTTGACCCGATGCATTTACCCACATTATTCTATGGCCATGCCTAACAAATACATTTGATTTCATCTGGGGAAATTAAAGTGCACTACTTAAAGAAAGCGAATATGGTGAAAGACTGTAAAGATGGAGGTTCACAGGCCATGGACTTTGATTGTGTAAATGTGCTCTTAAAGGTAAACTGGTTGAAATCCTTTCTAGTGAATGGAATCAGTGTCTGGTTCTGTCTCCCCAGAGGTTTGTTTAGAAAAATGGATGCATAGATTTTGTTCTTAGATGAGACTTCCTGTCACTTATCTGCCTTTAACCAGCAGGTTTTGTTGTGTTGGAAACTTATGAACATGAATAATTTTACTCCTCTCCAAACTCCATCTGGAGCAACAGAGACGAGCTGCAGGAATGATTCTGTTCGGATCGAAGGATGGAAAAAGGTTCCTGTCCATTAGACATTTTAAACGATAATGGAGATTGGTTGAGGAACTTTGCTTCTAATCTGGACCGCCCGCACTCAGTTTAACAGTGATGACCTCTGACCCCCTGCAGTCAAACATCTGGTTCAGAGGTCAATAAGTGGAGAACTGCTGACCTTAAATATCCTCTGGGTCCTAAAGAAGTTCAATTTAAAATCCTCAGTTACGTTTTTCCATCCAGCGAACTTTCACCACAAAGATTCAACTTTGACCCCAACAACTGGACTTTTTGAAGCAACAGACCAACTGGAACATTTTGGGGAAACTTTCAGCTGAACTCTTCCTCCTTCACCTCTTGAAAAAAATATTTGGACCAAAAGAACCGACCCGGTACTGAACCAGAACCACCTGCTGATCCTGCAAATGTGGAAATGGGAAAACTTTAAAACCCTCCAGAGCCTTAAACCTGATGGAGAACAAGCATCTGGATCTATTTCAGAGCCAGTTCTTCTGTCTTTTGTTTGTTTTTCTTTCCTCTGTTTAATTGAATTTATTTATATTTGTAACTATTTGTTCTTATTCTTTCAGCCTGGAAGATTTGACTTGTTCTTGTACATAAACGCCACATGATTCTGTCCAAAATGTTTCATGAAAACACAAACAGTAGATGATGGAGGGGTTCTCCAGGTTCTGGTCCAGGTTCTGGTCCAGGTTCTGGTCCAAACCAGAACCAATCAGAAATGTCTGCTCCATGTTTTCACACAGAATAAATCTGTGGATCATCTGGATCCAGGAGACTGACCTCTGACCTCTGGAGGACATGAGCAGCTCGGTGAGTCAGTTGGGTCTGCAGTCACCTGATCAGCTCATCAATGGCTCTTATTGATCGCTCTGCAGACTGTCCTCTGAGGACGTCTGAGTGGCTGCACCTGTCCAGGTGAAGAAGGCTCCGCCCCCTGCTGACATCACGTCCTGCGTTTCAGGCTCAGAGGAAGCAGCGGCCCCTGGAAGCTCTTTGGTCTCCAGAACCAGAACCAAGACCGGCAGAGCGGCCAGCAGTCGGACCCGCAGGGCAGCCGGCGCCGGAGACCCCGCCCCCCCCACGGAGCCCATCGACGTGATGGACGGCGCCGAGGACGGTCGGTGTAGAACCCGAACGGACCTGGAGCCGATCCAGAACCTGTGGTTCTGCAGAACCACAGGTCCGGCTCACGTGGCTCTGCTGTGTCCAGGTGTGGAGGAGGTGGTGGACCTCACCTGCGAGGGATCAGAGTCCGCTGTGGTCGACCTGACGACCAACAACGAGTCTGTGCTGGTAAACAAGCAACCGACCAACAGGAAGCTGCTTCTCACACACACATAACTCTGCTTCTCTCTCTCCTGCCCCCAGCTGGTGGATGAAGGTAAAACCTGGATCTGCTCTCTTGACCTCACATTGGACCAGTACCGGACCAGTAACAGACATTCTTGGTTCTTCCATCAGGGCCTCCAGGTGAGAGCTATGTTCTCAGCAGTGATGAAGATGAAGATGCGCCCACTGTCATTCAAGCTGCCATCAGCTCTACTGCACACACATCCAGGTATTACACCGATCCCTGCCGATAAACCTCCAGGCATTACACCGATCCCTGCCGATAAACCTCCAGGCATTACACCGATCCCTGCCGATAAACCTCCAGGCATTACACGGATCCCTGCCAATAAACCTCCAGGCATTAGACGGATCCCTGCCGATAAACCTCCAGGCATCTGGGATCGGTGTAATGCTGTCTGGATTTTTCTCCATCCATCCATTTTTTCCCCACCTTTATCCTGTTGGGGTTGCTTGCAAGACATTTCAGGTGAGAGACGGGTCACCTCCAGGAGTTAGACAGCTCCAGTCTGACATCAGTAACTTGTTGCTGATTGGACACCAGAACCAGAACCTTTCAGGCTGTGTCTGTTGCAGGTTGACAGGTCTCATCAGCTGTCCCATCTGTCTGGACCTGTACTCCGAGGTGAGATTTCCTCGCTGGTGGAGCCGGATCAGAACCAGAGCTTTGCTGTCCAACCCCGGTCGGTCCTACGTTCTGATTGGCTCTTGTTTTCCTCACAGATTGTAGAGAGCGGGCGATTGGTCGTTTCCACTAAGTGTGGCCACGTGTTCTGCAGCCAGTGTCTGAGGGACGCTCTGACATCATCACACACCTGCCCCACCTGCAGGAAGCGGCTCACCTCACGCCAGTACCACCCTCTTTACATCTGACACCTGGTGACATCATCCGCGGACTGAGCTGCTATTGGCTGTCCTCAGTGACGCCATCATCAACATTAATCAGCTGCGGTTAGGTTTAAATATGGCGGATTGAATGATGATTTCCTATTAAATAAATATTATGGAGTAACAACGGCTGCTTGAGTGATTGGTCAGATCACATCAGGTCCCGCCCATCAGCTTTCCATTGGTTTGGTTTCTAAAATTCATTCTTATAAAATAAGCAGTACCGCAGACTGTCCAGCAGGGGGCGTGGTGTGGCTCCGGTGAGTCCTGCTGCTGCTGTTTGAAGGTTCTGGTTCTGGTTCAGTCATTTTATCTGTAATTTTAACTTTTATCTGTCAGCTTTTTGAATAAAATTTGTTCTCAAATTATTTAATTTCCTCCAAAGTTTATTTTTACTTGCTATTTGGACCCTGGGAGCAGCAGAACCAATCAGCTCCATAAATCTGGAATTACCTCGTCACAACAGAACCAGTCTGATGGAAACGACTGTTCTGTTCAGAAAAAGTTTCTACCTGCCTCCCTAAACATTTCTGAAGGAGTTCCTCAGGGTTCAGTCGTTGGGCCTCTGCTGTTTAATCATTTATATGAT